GAGCAGGAGCTGCTGTGCCAGGCTGCCACGGCGCTCACGAAGGTCACCAGATGCAAGAAGGACTACGAGCCGTTCATCGTCAACTTGCAGAGCCTGCACGGCAAGATGGTAAGCAGGAGCTGCAGCCTCCCCGCTGCCCCACCGCGGCCGTGGCCCCCGCACCGCCGTCGCCCAGCACCGTCCCCGCTGCCGTCCCCGCTCCCCACATGTGCCCACAGCACTGGTCCGGCCGGTGTCGGCGACCGTGTGTGGGGCCAGACCTGGGCACCGCAGACCCGTGCGGCGCTGTGGGATAGTTTGCCTCGTGGGAAGAGGGTGGATGTCCCCACCAGCCCCGGCCACCCCCGACCAGTGGCCCTGGGGGTGACACCACTGGGCACAGGGGCTGTCCTGAGCAAAGGACAAATTCCCAACCTCCTGGGGCAGCATCCTCGCAACTCGTAACTGAGTTATTTGCTGAACTATTTATCTGGGAGACACAGGCAATGGAAGCAAACCGTCTGCTTGGGCTGGTAGCCTGGCTACCCGCCCTCCGAGCCGCTGAGCCCTGCCGTCAGCTCTGATGTATTTACACTTTTCCTTCCCCAGAACTGCTCCCTGAGCAACGAAAATGAGATCTACCTGCGCAACTTCTTGCCGGAGCTGGGGAACTTCACCCAGGGGATGTACAGGCGCTTGGCCACGTCGGCTGCACAGTGAGACGGGCACCGTGCCGGCGAGTGCCGCCGCTGCCAGCCCCGAGCCCCGGGATCTTACTGCTGGTAGCTTTTAAAATAGGTTTTGCAGAGTTTTTTTTTTTGCTCCTCGTTGCATGCACTTCCTCAGCTCTGCCTCAGCCCTCCTAAACCCAACGCAATCCTCACAGCAACTCGCAGCGTGTTCGCCGGGCACCCGGGATCGCTCAGCCCCCGTGGGAAACCTCCCCTTCCCGGCAGGCGCCTGGCATCTCCCAAGCTTTCCGTCCCTGTGCCGTGTGTTAGTCATTACTCAGCCTCCGCAGGAGAAGTTTCATCTGGACAAGGCTGCCCTTAGCGCTCCCTCGCAGCCCTGCGTCTCTTCCAGCCAGCACGAGGCGGGATGCGACCCCTCAGGAGGGATGGATGCGACCCCTTGGGATGGATCCAACCCATCGGGAAGGATCCAATCCTTTGGGATGGATCCAACCCCTCGGGAGTGATGGATGCAACCCGTTGGGATTGATGGATGCAACCTCTTGGGATGGATCCAACCCCTTGGGACGGATCCAACCCCTCATGAGGGATGGATACAACCCCTTGAGAGGGATCCAACCCTTTGGGATGGATCCAACCCCTCGGGAGGGATGTATCCAACCCCTCGGGAGGGATGAGACCCCCGGGAAGGCTGGCAGGAGGGTTTGCCGGGCCGGGAGGAGCAGAGCATCACGCCTGGACTGGGCGGCCAAGGAGGTTGAGCTCTTAACTTGCTCACCTCCTCCTGCAGCGCCTACCAAAACCAAAACCATGTTATCTGCTTCCTGTTCCTCTTAATGAAGGGAGGCTTCTTCATAATCACCTTCTCTTCCTAAAGAGATCAAAATCTAGGCTGAAATGATGCATTTTTCACTAACGAGTTACTACAGCAGCGCCGGGGGAGGACTCCCCTCGGGCGCCCAGTGGGAGCGGAGCCGGTGAAACGCAGCATCCGAGAGCGAGAGCCGGGGGGGAACAGCGGCGGGAGGGGGCTGGGGGCTGCCTCGCCACCAGCCAGAGCCGTTACCCCAACCTCTAATGTGTCTTTGATATCGTCGGTGGGCTTTTAAGTTATTAATAGTGAAGACCAGGAGAGTCTGTAGGATGACTTCGGATCTAATGGGTGCTCATTGGCATCATACTTCTAGAGTTTATTTATTGTTATATTTTATTTAAATAACTTATTTTTATACTGCGTTATCTAAAGATTCAAGAGCAAAAAGTCCCAGCTGTTGAAAGCTTTTCTTCGCTCGGGACCCAAAACAAAAAGCAAAAGCCAGTATTCAGAACAGGTGTTCTATTTTTAACTTATATAAGAGTAGTTCTGTGGAATACAGTCATATTTAAAATACTGCTACCTCATTCTTAGGGAACTATTATTGCCTAATTGCCTCTCCACGACAACAAATGAACGTGTGCTGATTCGTAATTTATTGTTCTTCCCTCTATTTAAAGTATTTGTATTACAACAGAGTTAATATATTCAAATTACCATGTATTTTGATGTCTTCGTTTTAATTTTTTTTTTCATTTCAACTTTGCACTGATGTTATAAAAGTGTCTCAGGGCTTAAGCAATAAACGACTGAATAACGAGCTCCTGGTACCAATGGTCTATGCTGTCGAGTCCCCTCTTCCCACCTTCAGCAGCTAACGAAGAGCATCGGGGGGTGCTGCCTCCTTGGTCAGTCGGCACAGGGGAAGGGGGTGGGGAAAGATGGTGTTTCTTGGGGCAATAAACAGCAAATCTACCCACCCTGCCATTGACAGCGAGCGTTCACGCAAGCACAAGGCACCGATGACCATACCTGGCTCGCGGCGCAGGAAAACACAAGGGGAAGGGAAGGGCTGGAGGAGTGGGGACGAGTCTGCCTTTGGGAAGAGGGTCTTGTGCGCGGGGCCATGGTGTGTGTCGGGGTGCAGAGCATGCTGGCGGGGGGCGGCAGGGCTGAACTGGGAGCCAGCGGGTGGCAAAGCGGCGCTGCACGCAGGGGAAGGGACGCTCGGCCCATGGGTGAGGGAAGGGATGAGTGCCCGCTTGGGTGCCAGCAGTGCCAGGGTAGGAAATAAATGGACAACCCGGCTGTTGGAAATCGCAATAAATGCAGCTAACTGCTACGAATGGTTGCGATGGGGCGTTAACTGCAGCCTTTGGATTTGCTCTGGATAAACAACAGCATTATGAGCACCAGCACCGAACACGGTAGGAGACAGAAACGCATGAAAACTGTGGCACATCCCCGCCGCTGCCAGCCAAAATTTCCCCTGGGCAGCTCGTGATGCCCAGGCAAAACCCCGTGGCCCTTTCTCAGCGGCTGTCCTGGAATCGCGCTGGTTTGGGCCAAGGAAAGAGGGGGGAAGCTGAGACGGTGGCCGTGGCTTACAGCGGAGCTTTGGGCTCGGTGGCCGCGGGGACGCCAGCACTGGGAGCCCAGGCAGGATCCTCGTGTGATGGGGAGATGCTACAAACCAGAGAGCACAAGGGGCAGAATGGCAGCGGAGAAAAATGGAGGACACGTTTCTGAATCAATCACCTTCCTTTGGTAGGGAATATGGCAGCAGGTTCATGCCCTGAATGATGGCTGCAACGAAGGCACTGCCGGGGCTCCACGAACATCCCTCCCGCCCGGCACGGGCAGAGATGCGGATGGCGCTGGGGCTGGAGCCATCCCTCCGGCGAATGATGGGGCTCTCACTGCCATCAGCTGCATCCCACCCTTGGGAAAGGACATGGGAATTTTTTCCTTCATTGGTGATTTTCCCATGACAGTGACGCAGTTTTCCACCATGATTCATCCCAGGTAGCTCCGAGATTACGTTTTGCTGTGAATTTAGCATTTTCTGTTCATTTACTCCAGCTTCAGAGCTTTCCACCGTGATCACAGGGGAAACCACTGTGGCTGCGGGATGGGACCACCACCTCCATCCCCTTCTCCAGAATCACTTTTAGACAGGGAGCATCCCACCGCCACCCATCCCAGACCAGCTGGGGGGGCCCCGGGCATCCCGGCGAGGAGCCCGGCCCCACGGCCACCATCCGCAGAGGCCACGGTGGCGGTGTGGCCCCGCAGCCGGAGTGCGACCGCTTATCTGCTTTCCATCGAAAACGATGCAGGTAGGAAACGGCGCAGCACTCCGCTGGCAAATCCCTCACAAAGGTCTTTCTGAGTCAGTGGCACTAACTTCGTCTGGGGCATTTCGTAATTAGACAAACAAAATTACTCTCAGTCTGGCTGCTCCTGGATTAATCGAGTGCTCGCAAACTCTTATCAAGCATCTGATGGCAAGTTGCTATTTGAGTGAGAAAAATACCTATTAGTTATTACAAAACTCCGAAGTTTCCCAGCTCAGCTAATTTCTCAGCGTGATTTCCTGGGGCAGCGCTGGTCGGCGGTGCCGGCAGAGCCCAGCGCTGAGCCCGGTGCGGTGCCGGCCGGGCCGGGGCATCCTCCATCTCCCCAAGACGCCGGGTGCTGGAACAGCGTCGCAAAACCCCATTTTCCCATGCGAGTGCCGGAGCTCCCAGTATCAACACCGCAGGGCCACCAGCTCCCTGTCCCCATCCCATGTCCCCGCATGGTGCCACGGGCAGTGTCGTGCTGTTTTGGGGGTCCCGTTTGGCTGGGAGGGCCCCCAGCTCTCCGTAAACCCCCCGGCCTCAGGAGGTGGCGATGCCCCGCTCCTACCCAGGAGGTTTTGGTCCCCGCGGGCCCCAGGCAGGGCTCCGCCACGCTTTCTGTTTCTCCCCGGCGCAGGTTAAGATAACCATAGATAGAAAATAGTATGCAGATGAAGGATGCTTTGCATGATTTGGAGATATTCAAATGAAAGGCAAGATGGAAGAGCTGGCAGGATAGTTAGAGAAAAAAAAGCCAAGCGCCGTTATTTGAGCGCAGTCACATCCGTGGGCTCCCCAGTTCGGCCACTTTCAACTCACGGCGTAGAGAAAGTCTTGGGATACGGAGAAATGAAGAATCCCCAAAGCGGACAGTTTACATACTTTCTTTCGTATGTGACCTGACTCTTACCACCGTTATCTTACGGTGGAAATTTCCTACGTTGAAACGTAATGCAAGATCAGAAGAAAATCTTGACTTTTACAAAAAAGACCTGTTGTCCTATTTGGATAGGAGCATCTTTGGAAAGTGCAGATAAGGGAAAAAGTTTTTCCTACGGGTTCAGCAATTTTACAGCCATAAATTGAGATGTTTCATCAAGTAAAGCACACACAGGTATAGATCACCAAAATATCCAGAAACTGCGAGCTGAGGAGGTTCACTCCAAGCAGGCCATGAGCATCCCGGTCCCGGTCCTGCTCACCTTCCTGGTGCTGTCGGCCTGCCAGGGCCACATGGCCGCTCTGGTTCAGACCTCCACCTTCCTGAAGGAGAGCATCAGGCTGCTGAGCGAGCTCCTGGAGACCAAGGTAGGGCTCGTTCCCGCGGCTCAGCCTTCAGCCGCCGATGGGAGGGACAGATTGTTTCGCCGGGCTCGGCGAGAGCCACGCTGAGTCAAAGAAAGGTGCTGAGCGAGCAGCGCGGCGGCGGAGCGCAGAGCTCCCGGCGCTGGCGGGGGGCCGAGAGCAGGAGGGGACGGGCGGGCGGGTGCGTGTCCGCGTGTGCACGTGTCAGCATGGATCCACCTTAGCGGTTTCTGATCGCTCCTCTCCTTTCTGTCTCGATAAAGGTTTCCTGTGATAAGATGAACGTGACAAATATTTTTGCAGGCGATAAGGTAAGAGAGAAAAAAAACTAACTTGACCCTGTTCGAAACCAATCCTACGGCCAGGAGGGGTACTGGGAGAGGATGAGGGGGCCGGAGGAGAGCACGGGGCAGCCCGGAGGCAGGCGCGAAGCCCTGGGGGTCCTGTCCGTCCTGGTGCGGCAGTGCACGGGAGCAGGAGCCCAGCGCAAGCCCCCAGCAAGCTTTCAAGCTTTTCAGAAAGGAAGAGAGGAACTTCTTCCTTTGCCTTGGAGCGGTGTGTCACCGTCTCGCAGACACCCACACGCGCCTATCGCGCAGCATCTCGAGCTCGGGTTTGACATACTATCCCTCTTTAGCCCCTTATCTGGGGGAAGGCTCTTCAGTTAGCAGAAGATTTAATAGCAGATAATAAAGCCTATTTCTGCTGTGAAAATTGCTGCCTAAGCCAAGCTCCCCGGCGCCAGAGTTCCTGTTTTCACGGAAAGCCGATGCCTTCGCCTCGCGCTGCAGGGGCGGGCGGCAGCCGCGGGGCGCAGCAGCCTCCCTGGGAGCGAGAAGAGATGCCCGGACGCCGCACACGCTCCAGCGCCCGCAGAGCCGGCCGTGCTCCCGGGGACGGGCCGGTGGCTCATTTGACGGTGCCGTGCGGGTGACCACCGAGGAGAGCTGGGCTGTAGAGCTCTCCACAACCTGCCTGCACCCTGGCAGCCAGGCGCCGTCGGGAACATCCCCCAGGGAAGACAGCGGAATCGTTTTCTTACTGCTGCCAGCACTTCACTCAGCTCCTCATCTTCCACGTGTCGCTGTTACAGGGCTTTATCCACTCAAAGCACCTGATGGAGGTGACCTCTTCCCAGGGGCTTTGGTTATTCTCGCAGAATAACCACCCAAACCAGCTTTGTTCCCGGGGGACCCCGCAGGGAGCAGCGTACAGGGTCCCACGGCCGTGCCCGTGCCGGGAGCACGATGCTCTCAGTGCGTGGTTGCTCACCGCTGTGCCAAACTCTGCCACATCTCACCAGGACAGGAACAGACCCGTGTGTGCACACACACACCGAGAAGCTTTGGGGAGGCTTCACCGTCTCGAGCTGTACATTTAGAACAGAAATGTACTATTTGCGCTGTTTTAATCTGCTGCTTGCTAATGAAGGTGTGCCTGTACAAAAAGGTTCCTTAAAAACCCATCTGCACCTTTTTCCAGAAAGATGATGATCTGGGGATCTTGTGCAAAGCCACCACAGTCGCTTTGGAGGGCCGGAGCTGCCACAGGCACCTGGAGGGCGTTCACCTCAACTTGCTCAGCCTGGTCCGAAGGAAAAGCCCAGTCCACAAGGTGAGGCACGGCTCTCCCCTCACCACGACACTGTACAGCCCTCAAACTTTCTGCACGTCCATCTTCTCCCCTGGTCACCAGTTCGCTTTCACCCAGTCCTCTCCTGCACCACCAGCCCAGGCTGCAGAACCAGATGCCTCCTCCACAAAGAGTCCTAACCTAAAGGGGCTCCAGGAGAGCTGGGGAGGGACTTTTGACAATGGTGTGTAGTGACAGGACGAGGGGGAATGGCTTTAAACTGGAAGAGGGGAGATTGAGATGAGATATGAGGAAGAAATGTTTCGCTGTGCGGGCGGTGATCCCCTGGGGCAGGTTGCCCCGAGAAGCTGTGGCTGCCCCATCCCTGGAGGTGTTCAAGGCCAGGTTGGACGGGGCTTGGAGCAACCCGGGCTGGGGGGAGGTGGCCCTGCCCAGGGCAGGGGGTGGCATGAGATGATCTTCAAGGCCCCTTCCAACCCAAACCATTCTGTGATTCTAACAGCTGTTTTTTCCCATTCCAGGCCCCATGTCCCGTGGCAGCAGGCAACACTACTTCACTGAATAATTTCCTAGTGGATTTACACAGACTCCTCCAACGATTAGTAAAAGACGAGCATTTGAAGTGAAAAAGAAAAAACACAGCTTGTTTTTAAAGTATAATGACACTGTATTTTTCAGAGATTATTTATAATAATTCTTTAAATAAATGTATTTTTGGACTAAATTTGCTGGCATTGCATAAGGTGTTTCTTGGCCAGAAACCAGTGAGCACAGGAGCATATTTGAGATGTCAAAGGTGCTGGCTGGAGTGCGGGCCAGCAGGCTGCGGGACCGAGGAGCCCCTCTCCGGCCTCTCCAGAGCCCAAGAGGCGGCCACGGCTGGAACGCAGCGCCAGGGCCAGGCCAGCAGCAATGGGGACCGGGCTGGTGGCAACAGCAGGAAACCGCAGGGAAAAAAGGATGGGTATTTTCTACCCACGTTGTTGCAAAGGGGTAAGTTTGTGACAGGGTTGGACACAGGGACAGAAAGACAGTTCTGACTCCAGAGAGAAGAGCAGTGACAGGTTCCTAGGTAGAACGGGGGCTTAAAAAAAAAAAAAAAAAGTGGTTTTAAAAAGTCACTTTTGTTACTTTGCCATATAAGTTGCAAGAAATACATGAGGCTAGAGTGAAGCGTCCAGAGTTCACCAGCACAAGGGTGGTGCTGGCAAAAGCTGCCAAAACAAAAAATTTGTCCTGCTGTGGGGTCAAGGCTTGTACTGACAAGGAAAGCAGAGGAAAAACCCGAGAGAAGGGAGATTGGAGAAGCCAGGCCACACACAGGGGCTGCTCCTGTAAGCCATGAACTCAGAAGAGATAGAGCTGAAAAGGGAGGTACCAAGTCCTTAACTAAACAAGCTCCTAGTTCTCCCCTCACTTTATAGTCTATTTATAGCCTATATTTATATTATATCCATATAATTATATATATGCCATTTATAATATGGCACAGCCCTTCATGGTCCAGGAGTAAAGAAGCTCCAGCAGAAACAGCAGTGAAAAGGATAGCAAGAAGGAGCAAAACTGCACTGTTGGAGGGATGACTCTAGCCTGGTGGTTGAAGTCTCTGGAGTCTTGCAGGTATTTAGGTGTCTACCATTTTGCAACTTACTTTGGCACAGCGTGGGAGAGCACTTTGGAAAGTCCCAGGACTGTGCAGGGTTTGGTTTGTGCATCAACTGAGTCACAGCACTCAGGGGAGCTGCAAAGTTAGCAGACCACAAAAAACCTGTTACCTACTGCACGAGCAGGCTGAGATGTCTTCCAGAGGAAGAAATGCGCTGCAGCCCAGTACAGTTTATGCTGCAAAGGAAACAGAGCTGAACATTTCCAATTAACGCAGGTAAATTCACATCATCTGCACGAATACAGGGCGACAGTCTTGTCACGCAGCACCAGGACACTTAAAGCCAGAGCAGTGTGAAAGGCCTTCTCCCCATCAGCTGTACCACCATACATCCCAGTGCACATACACGAGCAGAGGCAGCACCGGCTGTTTGAGCGGAGAAGCAGCTGCTCTCGCAGTGCTCTGGCTCAGCGGCGCTCTCCTCTTCCCCCAGGGCAGCTCGGGACAACCCCGGCAGAGGACGGGCTTGAACAAGGGGCTCACCAGCTCCTTGGGGCACATCGCGTCATCTGCGTACTGGCCTCATCCCACTGATCTTCTCCAGAGCTCTGCAAAGCATCCTCTTGTTCTGCCCCGTCTCCCTCTTCCACAGGAGCTTGTTGCCCACTGCCCTGGGACTTGGCAACGGGGGTCCCTGTGCACCCCAAACTCACTCCGCTAACTTCTTCTGTAAGGGCTGCGTATCACAGGGCTACAGCGACTATTTTAGCTGCCCTTCCTGACATACCTTCTGATCCAACTGAGTTAGAAAGATGCTGTATGTATAAAGTTATTTGAAAAACATGCATAGAGGTGGAATTAGGAATCAAGAATTTTATTTTATGGTATGAACATGCTCCAGGGACACAATACTGATATATACAGTGTAATGAATAAAGTTTAATCATAAAACAAAGAATAATCAAAATAAACAGAGTCAGAAAACCAATAAATAGGAAGACAAATTATACAAACAGACTAGCAGTTTTTCCTATACACAGGACTGGCTAAGCAGAACTGTTGAGAGAGGTGAAAGCTGGACATGTGCAGACAGTGTAAGTCAGTGAAAGGCACTAAGCACCATTTTCCCCTCCTCTTAAAGAAAGGATCAGGAACAAGTTAAATAAGAAATAATTCATTTACACAACATCAAACAACATAAAGCATCGAAAACCTCAATGTTAAGGTCAATGTTCTGGAATGATGGGAATCTTCTGGTAGCAAGACGCAAAGATGAGCACGCACAATATATATATTATGGTAACATGATTTTTGATAAATACTATAGAGCATGTACTGACCTGGGATGAGAATGGCTGTATTAAGCTCTTAAAAAAACCCACACAAACCAAACCGCCTCCTCATTAAAACATACTATGGACCCATTAGACATTCACAGATTGTCCAGGGCTATAGAGAGGGCCCATATGGTAAACCTGCAAACCAGAATCCCTCATTTTAAAAAGAAAGTTCCCAGAACTTCAACAAAACACACCAGTTAAAAGGTAAGCCAAGCTGACAGACCATCATGACCATGATAGTGTTCCACTTAAAGTCCTCTTGTAAAAGCAGATAATTTGTTCTCCGAGCTCCTGTGACAGGAGATTACAACAAATTTCTCCAATCTGCCAATTTCAAAGATGTGCAAGCAATTATTTATTAAGTGTTTTCTCTGCACCAAGGCTCAGTTAAATACTTAAGAGTACTATTGTTTTCAGCAGCAGGACTGTAACACCAAGTCATAAAGCATATGCCTTTATAGTTAAGTTTTAAGTATTTTAAATGCAGTGTCATGGTTCACAGTAGCATCTTTAAGCCACTGATATCTGTCAGGTAAGAGACTTTTCAATGGTCTTTTTGAAAGCACAGTTCAAGAGAAACTCCCTTAAAAACAGATCACTCAACCAACCTTAGCACAAGACGTAACACAAAGGGAAATACAACAGTTATCCCTGGTTCTGAGAACTGTTACAGGCCAAAATTATGCATTGATCTGCTTGGACTAAGAACTGACATAAGGCCTAAGACAAAACAGCATTTAAGCCATCTGCAGTCTATCTTGTTTGCTGAGAAGTATTTAACTTGAGATAACCTAACTCTTTCCAAGCACATTCAAAGTAAGGTCAGCTCTTCAAGGGCAAAACCAACTACAGCTTGGATCAAACAAAAATTCTGAGTATTTATCTCTTTAAATGCCAGGCAAGAGAAAACAAATGCCAGTGTTTGTATTTGTATCTTGTATGAACTTAGGTGACAAAGCCAGATCTTTTATGAACTTCGGTGACGTTCCCTCCCCCACCAAAACAGAGTGCAGTATGTTCTTCTCCTACATCATGATCCTGAAAAAACATGTTTAAAAAAAAAAAAAACACACAGGGAAAAGCTTACAACTCATTTAGAATAGCACTGAATATGTCTCCAGAGCAAAATATGCCCTTACAAGACCAGTTTTCACTATTACAGATCCTGTAACAGACCTGTTAAGAGTCACAAGGTACACCCAGTTAAGCATCACGACAGCAAGAAAGGAATATCAACTTTAAACTACGCTAAGTACTTCACAAGGACATTCTGGTAACTGCAAACGTGGCTACCAGCAAGAACTCAGGACACCTAAGGAGCTGTCTTGTTCTTTCCGTCATGCTTAAGGGCTCAATTTCTCCTAGAAGTAATCACAGCTCTTTAAACCTCTAGGTAACACTACGATTACACAAAGTTACAGCTAATTACCACCACCCTGGCATGGGAGCTGTTACCATGCCTGCACCTCATGTGCTCCAGCATGAGTTACAAAGCACAGACAATCCAAACGAGATGCATCTTCTCTGCGACACAAAAGCAATGTGTTAAAGTGATATGTGTCTATTAGCAGCATAAACATCAAAGAAAAAGAGCAGCCACCACAAATCAATGGGTATTGAGACCAGAATTTTTTTTCTTCTCATCAGAGCATAACCAGAAACCCGAGATGATACAATCTACACAGGAATACAAACAGCATCAGCTATTTCAGGGGATGTTACTGTTCTGGGAAAAATCAGACAATTCACACCTGTTTTAATATGGGAGAGTCAAATCCACCCTCAGTTTAGAGCACTGATCCAGTGTCCTTGTAGCCAGGGATGAGAAAAATGGAACCATAACGCTCACGGTCCCAAGGCTGAAGCCAAGCCCTAGTACTACAGCATTCCCCTTAAATAATCTCTGCTGTTCAGGTTACAAAGCAATTCACATACATTTAAAAAATTCCAGCTCAGAAGCATAAAAAGCAGCCAAAGCAATGCTGCAACACAGCTTTAAAAGGAGGGGGGGTGAAGGGGGAAGCTCTCCTTTGCCTTTGCAAAAGCCTCACTCTCCACAGTGCCAGTCACACACACATAAAAATAAAAGCACTACTTAGACACACTTGTTTTCTGTTGCACTTAAACAGAGCATGGTCCCTTCCCAGAAGTCTCAGACTTTTGTAGCTCACGTTTCCACTACCCAACTACTTTCTTTGTACAGCAAGACAGCAAATGAAGGGGAAAGGGCTGTGTATTTGATACACAATAAGGTCAGGTTCATAGCCACAGTGAGGAATATTTAAATAAAAGGGTTCGATGCTCTTAATTCAAATGTTTGCAGCAACCACATTCAAACACAGATCAGTGCAACAGAGGACAATAGCGAAAGCTGCCAGTTATGTGCAAAGCAGGGCATAAATCAGATTCACCAGCATTAACCTGTAGGATTTCATCAACCGTTTTGAGCTAACATGTCTAGCACTTAAACACCCATCTAGAACCCTTATTTTCTATACATTTCAACAAGGATTGCCAACAACAGTTTCCCTGCACAACACGTTTAACACATGGAATTTCACAACCATCTTATATACCAGTTTAATATTATGTTAATATAACATACAATATACGGGCAACTAAGGAAAAATACATTTTTTTAAAATAAAGCTCCATACCAGCAAGGCATGGATTTTACAGCCATGTCAAACTGTGCCACCTCTTGAATTCCAAATTCTGGCCAAATCTCATACACTCACTGCTTTTTACGGCAATTCTGAACAGGTCACACCTACTGCAGCAGAGAGTCAATGACGGCTCCTGGCTTTGCTGAACGTTTTCTGTTTGGAGAGCAGAAAGGAGAGGGAAAAACAACACCATACACACATCATTATGCTGTCTAGGAAAGACAGGGACCAGCCACATTTCAAGTCAAAACTACACTTCCACAAGCATTTGTCAAAACCAACCAACTGAAAATCACCAAGAAAACCCATGCTGAAATTTCCCCCACAGCGCATTACTTTCCATTAATAACAGCAGATACACTGTCAATGTGTCAGATGTTAAACTGAACCACAGAACACAGTAAAATAAAGCAAGTAGCCGGAAGAGGGGAATGCAGCAAAAAGGCATCAGAAAACCCCCCAGACAAGTCTTTCTGGACAAGATTTTACTGTAGTAAATAGATTTCAGCTTGGTTCTCTCACACTTGGCACTGCTAAGCTTTATACCGCACAAATTTTAGCATTTTGTCTTCTCATTAAGCAAGTGTGTGAAGACTTACGGTAAGTTTGCATGCACAAACTTAAGCCTTCCCTTGGGTAAATCCCCCATTACATATAGATACTCCAAAGTTCTTCACCTTCTACCCGTCTTGGGCCTGGATCTTCCTTTTGAAGTCCTCGGCCTCTCCAGCTTCATCAGAGATTGCCTCAAGCTTTCTTCAGTGTAAGCTAAGTAAACATGGGAAAGGTCCACTTCAAAGGGCTAAAAAAAAAAAAAAACAAAAAACCACCCCACAAAACAAAACCATCAGGATGATTTTATACACTGATCAACAGTGCTTTAGCAACACTAGAAACACTCATCTCTTCAAAAGAAAACAAAATTAAGATTGGACAGTTTCCATATAAATATGCAGCGGTAGGCACAGGCAGTAGAACCTAGACCTACGCAGTTCAATACAGGCTTATAGAGAGTCACTCACATCTTTTTCTTTTTTATCCAGGACAGGCGTCTGTTTCCTCATATTGTTTCCCGTATATGCAACGCATTTCTTAAAGAAAGAAAAGTCTGTTAGTAAAGTCTACTGTGCACAGGAAAACTGACTACAGCTTTATTGATTTACTTCTGGGCTCTAGTGAACTCCTCAGAAGCTCGTGCCAAGATTAGCTTGTATGGGGCTAGCTTACCAGCTGCCATTCTCCAATGTCTTCGTTCCAGTGAACGTAGTTTTCAATCATTTCCTAGATATAAATTAGAATAGTCATTGTTACAGACTTGCACAATCTACCCTCCACATTCACTTTCCAGAACATACATCCCTAAAGGCCTGGACGAGCTGCTTAAGAACAGTCTTCACCATTCCAAATTGTTTTGGACAGCCACATCATTTTCAGAAAACCCTATTTACACTCTGAAGAGTATAGAAGAGAAAAATACCACTCCAAAATTGTATGCGTTGGAGTTCCCACTAAAACCTGGGTTTCCCTTTATGCCAATGCCACCAGGATAGCAACACACACACACATTGTAATAGGAAAAAAGTGAAAGATTAAGGGAAATAGCTTTTCTATTAAATAGTGTACACCATATTTAAGCTCCTCGTGAATCTTCTGGATATTGGGGTCACAAAGAAAACAAGTAGTGAAGAGCTCCAAGTTCAGTCTTATTACTTTGTATTAATATCAGACATTAGCAAGCACAACTTGAAGCACAGCGGGGAAAAAGAAGTGGTTTTA